TACAACCAAACCTAAAAGGTCTGGTATGACTTTTGGGGGGAATCCCATGCTTTTTTTTCCTTTTTTGTAAATGGGGTCCCTCCTAACTTTCCTACCCGACCTAAAGGGTCTGGTATTGTTTGGGAGGGAGAACCGCACACTTTTTTTTTTCTTTATAAATATCATTTTTTTCTTTTTTTATTTATAAATGCCACTATTTTCTGCAGCAGGTTCAATATATCATACAGATCCGCCACTTTATAGGCAGTTTAAGGGAACCCCACAGGCACGATATTTAAAGGAATTTTTCATTGTTATTTTTTCACTTTAAGCAATGTTAAAATCATTGCTCCTTTAAAAACTGTGTTTTTTAAAAGTGTTTTTTGCATTCACACATGTCCCCCAGGGCAGTACCCAAATCTCCATACTCTTTTTTATGGCCAACAACTTGCATATAAGCCTTCAAAATGGGGACATTTGATTTTCAGAGTTCTATGTCCCATAGACTTTCATTGAGTTCAAAGTTCGAGGTCGCACTTCTTCCATGTTCTAAAGTTCGAACTTGCACCGAACTCGGGTGTGTTCGGCCCCTCACTATTGGCCACCCATTTTCTTTTCACCTTTAGTCATTCTTTACTGAATATGCAACTCACATCAGCTGCAGCTACTGCCTTCTGTCTTACTCACTGTATCTAGTGTTCCCCTGCCTGTGAGATGTATGAGGTTGATTGGACAGGGACTTACTGCTTCTTGTTTTTATATGTTTTGTTTGGCGCACATGTTTGGTATCCATTTATAATTTGTGCAGTGCTATAGCAATAATAAAGAATAACAATGATAATAAAAATAAAGGTCACTTTGAATAAGGCATATAAGTAAACTTTGTAAGAGTATATGAATTTGCACATTTTGTGTAACTTTTCTGTTGTGCCAGCGTTACTTATACTTTGGGTTTCCCTTTAAATGAGTAGACTTCATACATATGGCTTGTTAAAACCTTTCCCTGTTGTTTTATTGCTAAGGTGGGGTCAACGGCAACCTTAACATTTCATTGTAATAATTTCTTCTACAATAGAACCATGTTTAAATTAAAGAACATTTTACTTGTATAAAATTAATCCATGTGACGTTGGGCTGATACAAAATATAACATGTCAAGAAAAAAAAAGCCTGCTGTTATCTGGGAATTAAACAGTCCAGCTTAAATCAAAGCTTGTAAATTGTCCTCCTCACCGCCACACCTTCTGTGCAGGAGCTGCTTAAATATTGGCTTGTCTACAGCTTGTGATTGTGAACTTTATTTAGGATAAAATTAATAATCAGAACCACCTTGTAAGTACATAAGAGATTACACTGTAATCAGATACAATGCAGTAGCTGAAATCTCATGTAGAACCAAACGACCTTTGAAATCTGTTCAGAAGTCTATAGGAAAATGTATTAAAATCTTGGTCTAAATTGTGCCTTTGAAAAATATATA